CTTTCTTCCTTTCTTCCATCCTTTCTTTCTTTCTTTTTAAAGAATTATTTTATTTGACTTCATTTATCATTATTATTATTACTATTATTATTATTAGTTTGACCAGAGAAACATTGAGAGAGAGGGAAATGAGAAAGTAAGCCATCAGGTCCAGGACTCAAACCGCAGTTGGCACATGGGAGTCCAGCGCCTTTCACCACCACACCACTTTCCAGCCCCATCCCCTTTCTTCGGTCCTCCAGCCCATCAGATCTTGGGCACTTGTGCATATCTTTCAGGTTGACTGGGCCGGGGATTCGAAGTGCAGTTGCCATGTGGGATCCATTCTTGAGCAGAATACACATTCTGAGCATTGTATTACCACTGCACCATGGAGCTGGCTCCACCTGGGGAGTTTTAAAAAAAAATCCTGACACCATGGGGCTCTCTGGACTGTCTTTGAAATTTCCTATGAATCTACATTTCAAAATAAAAGACTGAAAAAAAAAATCCTGGTGCCCAGGATGCTCTCTAGCCAAGCCCAGGGTGCAGGCATCGCTCCACAGGCGAAACTACAATCCCACTGTAGTATGGTTTGAAGCTTTGTGTGCTTCCCGGTGGGCAAGGTCTCCTAGTCAAAATCTAGGACGTCTGAGGACAGGGTCCTGACTCAGAGGCCCTTCTAGCCACTCTGGACAAGGTGTGGGGGGGAGGCCATTGGGACAGAAGAAAGACTATAGGCTTCAGAATCCAAGATTCCTAGCTCAATCTCAGCTACACTTGACCACATGGGAGCTACTTGATTTCAACTGTTTCCTCACGTGTAAAAAGAAGCAAATTCCCACCAGATGGGGCTGCAGTGAAAATGCCATTAAGATCCTGAATGGAGAGCACTTGGCAGAGGAGGCCCATGGTTTCTAACTGATGGCATATGAGAATCACAGGGAAAGTGACAATGGAACCGGCCTTCAGGGCTGGGCAGGGAGCAGCCTCAGCATCCTGTCCCCCAGGCGATGCTGATGTGTAGCCAGGACTGAGCAGGTGCTCAGCAAAAGGTAGCAGTTCTTATTTCACTTCCTCCTCACAAACCCAATGTTTGGTGCCAGCATCTCCATTTCGCATAGAGAAAACTGAGGTGCAGACTGGGGAAATGACCTGCACCCTGTCAGGAAACAGCAGTGCCAGGCTCAAGTCCTGGTGTGTCAGAATGTGAAGCCCCTGATCTTTCTGGAGTAGCCACTGATCTCCTGGTGCCTCCCTTCTCCAGGGCAGAGCAGCTGGTAGCGGGGGCCAGAGGTGGTCTGCAGGAGTCAGGAGTTGGTTATCACAGGACTCACTCTGGGGTGAATGGGCAGAGCCAGGGGTAGGTCCAGCAAGGTGTGTGTGTGTGTGTGTGTGTGTCGGGGGTGGGGGTGGGGGAGACTCACCTGCTAACACTGAGCTTGTCAGACTCAGCCCATGCAGCTGGTGCTGCAGATACCCCTGCCTACCCCTCCTGGGACCACACCCACCCCTGCCTCAGACAGCTGAAGCTAACAGAGGGCTGAGCCTGAGTCCAAGACAAGGTGCCTTGGCTAGGTGGTTCCAGCTAGAAGAGTTTCAGGCTGTCCACCACCTGGCTGGTGGTTCTCGAGCCAGCTACCTGTCAGAATCCCCTGACAGCTTTTAAAGAATGTGGATACCAGAACTGAGTGCCACTTGGGTTGGCTCTGAATCACTGGAGAGGGAGAATACCAG